TTTTTTTTTTTTTTTTTTTTTTTTTTTTTTTTTTTTTTTTTTTTTTTCTGAATTTCCATACTCTTCGCCTTTTATTTCTCTCTCTCGCCAGTAGATTTTGGCCGCAGATTTCACTCCTCTCTCCTTTTTCTTACTACTTTCGATTACTTTCTTTCATCGTTTGTAATTGTTCTCAATCATTTTCAAGCTCTCGGGCTCTTGATTCTCTTCGAGACCCTGCGTCTTGATTGAATACAGGAGCCGGAAGCTTTTTTGATTGCTCGGAATACGCACTTCAGATTCCTGTCGTCATTCTCTCTCTTTAATTTCGCTCGAATCGACCAAGATTGGGGAGCTTTGGTTTCTGAATGTTGCGTTCGTCCATGTCGATTTGAGCTGCGTAGGTGAGTATTTCGGTGCTGTGTTTTTTTCTTTTTTTTCTATTCATGTCATGCGTGAGAGTTATGGTGTGTGTTTTTATTCGATTTCATGTTGCTGAGACTACAGAGCAGGGGAAAATTGACTTCAATAATATGCAGTCGCAAGGAAATTTGATATATAGTTTTTTTTTCTAAATTATTGTGGTATCGTGTGCGGATTCGTTTCCAATTTTCTAGGCTTAGTATTCAATAAATGTCTCCTTAGGATTAAATTTCTTTTTGATCCAATCTAAACTGTTCTTTTAAATGCTGTTATCATGTAGGGACTTCTTTGTTAATGAGAATGAATAGTTGTTGAGATGGAAAGTTCGGAGGCCTAGATTCTGCTATAAAGGAAGTGGAGATATTTTGAATTTGGAACCCATTTTTTTTTTTTTCAAAAGAATTGTTCTCTGGACAAACCGATTCTTCCATCGAAGAGGCTGATAAAATGACACCCGTTTGGAGCTATGTTCTGTCCAAGTGGCAAACGTTGTCCACTTCTGATCACGCCTCTGTGGTTTCCATTAACTTATTTGTAGCTCTTCTCTGTGCTTGTATTGTGATTGGTCATCTTCTTGAGGAGACCCGGTGGATGAACGAGTCGATCACTGCCCTCTTCATTGTGAGTTTGTTATTCTCATCCTATGTTTTTTTTTACAACCCAACCCATGTCCACCCTTATATCATACATGTTGATTGTGTAAAGGTAAATTACTGTTTTTACCCTTTTGTTTCAGGGTATGTTTACCGGAGTCATCATTTTACTGGTCAGTGGTGGGAAAAGTTCGCATTTATTGCTCTTCAGCGAAGACATATTCTTCATTTATCTTCTGCCACCTATCATATTCAATGCTGGGTAAAGTTTGTGGAACAATTTTATATTAGTGCTTATTTCGTATGTAATGGGTGACTTGTTTTTGTGTATGCATAATTGTTGATGACTATATTCGATTACTGTATATATTTATTATGTATCCATGAGTGGTGTTTACACACGACGAAAATTTTGGAGTTTCTTCCTTTTCATCTTTGAAGAAGTCTTTTCCCCTGTAAACAACAATTTTAAGTGCTTTAGATTTGTGGTAAATCACAATAAAACTGGGTGAAATTTGGCTACTTTTTCTTAACAAAATGATTACCATTATCCTTTCCATTTTGTATTCTCTTGCTTGAATTCTTTTTTAACACAAGTGTTCTACTATTCTTCATCCGGGCAGAGGAACTAAAGAAATAGGAAAAAGTTGTACTATTCTTCCACCTGTCTTTGTTGTGATTTTAATGGTTCTTTCTAATACTCCCCTTTGCAACAATTCTCATTTGGTGGCAATGTTATAACGAGGCAACTTTTAGTGCATAATTTCATACTACCCTGTCCTAGTGTTTTGTCTTGGCTGATCTCTTTCATCTACATCAGGTTTCAGGTGAAAAAGAAGCAATTCTTTGTTAACTTCATTACAATTATGCTGTTTGGAGCAATTGGTACATTAGTCTCTTGTTCAATCATCTCATTAGGTATATCTTCAAACAAATTTTTTTGTTATTCACTATATATTCTTCCATATGATGAATGCCTTGTTTTGGTAATGACAATTGTAAAACAATCTTTCAAATCATTCTTCTCATATTATTTATTCATTGTCAATAATTTTCTGTAGCTAGTGTTCAGTTATTTTTCGCTTGAGCTGATGCTCACTGCTACACTGAAACCCTATGATGCTCAATGCGCCCCTGAAACGCTACAAATTTCCCCTAATATTAAACTTGAACGAAGTAATCTGGAAACCTTGTTAGCATTTGTTTTTTTTATAGAATTTGTTATGGATATACTCCGTTTTAGCATCCAACCGATTGAGTGTTTTTTTCTTTTTGCTCCTAATTACTTTCTGCAATGTTTTAAATCTTATGGTCAACTAAGTTCTACCTTTACTTTCCTCTTTTTATTTTTTTTATTTTTATTTACCACTTAGTGTAGTTATCTTGTAGCTTTTGAGTTATCATTATCTGATCTTTCATTGTTGCTTGACAATTGTGGTGCCCGCTTCAGGAGCTTTTCAGATCTTTCAGAGAATGGATGTTGGAACACTGGATATTGCCGATATTTTAGGTACATCCTTACTTTTTACCTGTCTCCTTTCTTGCATCCTTGTAATTTTTCTCGTTTAAGACTTTGGTGTCTGAATATTCTATTCCAGCAATTGGAGCTATATTTGCAGCTACAGATTCTGTATGCACATTGCAGGTGCGAGATATAGCAATCATAAAGTTCATTTACTTCTATAGATAGTGGGCATCTAAAGAAACAAATCTTAATACCTTTGATGGTGCAGATATTAAACCAGGATGAAACACCTCTACTTTACAGTCTAGTATTTGGGGAGGGTGTAGTGAATGATGCTACATCTGTGGTGCTTTTCAATGCAATTCAGAGCTTAGACCTCAGTAAAGTTGATGCAAGAGTTGCTTTGCATTTTATCGGGAGCTTCTTTTATTTGTTTTCAACGAGCACTCTACTCGGAGTGTTTGTGAGTCCTCTCCACATTCATCAATAACTCTCTACTGCCCTGTGTGGATGCAAGTAACTGTTTATTGTAATATTACATTGAATCATATATATATTCCATTACAGGTTGGGCTGCTGAGTGCTTATACAATCAAAAAGTTATATTTTGGCAGGTATATCTTCGCAAACTAGAGTTTTTAAAATTTTTTATCCGTTTTGATCCTTCTCTTAATGCATTAGTATGTGATAGACAAGAAACTTGTGGTAGTGCAATACTTATTCATCGTACTATACATATTTCCCGGTAAAGTATCGTTTTGTTATCAATATTGACACAATTAATAATATTTGTAACCTATGACAGAAATACCGACGATTAATGATGTTCCTATGAGTTTAAATCTTTTACAACGGTTGATTTTGTATGACATCTCTTCTTACGAGGAATTTGTTGGAATGAAGTAACCTTTTATTATTTAATTTACTGATAAAATTCAGGCACTCGACAGATCGTGAGGTTGCTCTAATGATGCTCATGGCATACCTTTCATATATGCTGGCTGAAGTAAGTATTTTGTATTACTATATTGAACTCTAATTGCTTATAGATACATTACCAATGATGATCTTCGGTTTTACTTGGTGGATATTTTATGCAGTTATTAGATTTGAGTGGCATTCTCACAGTGTTCTTTTGTGGAATTGTAATGTCACACTATACATGGCATAATGTGACTGAGAGTTCAAGAGTTACCACTAAGTAGGCAATGCTGAACCTTTTGTAACTCTCTAAAAATAATACAGTCTCGTTAACTCGTGGGTTTTTTTTATCTGCTATGACAGGCATGCTTTTGCTACCTTATCCTTCATTTCAGAGACGTTTATCTTCGTTTATGTTGGCATGGATGCCTTGGACATTGAGAAGTGGAGCTATGTTAGTGATAGGTATGGCAAGTTAACTGAATATGTGGCATATTAAGGAGGACTTGTTTAGAATGACTTTCAAAATCCTTAAAACTCTTTTCTTCGGTTATTGCAGTCCAGGGACATCTGTTGCTGTGAGTGCAATATTACTAGCTCTGGTTATGGTTGGAAGAGCTGCTTTTGTTTTTCCATTATCATTTTTATCCAACTTAGTTAAAAAATCGGCTTCCGAGAAAATTACCTTCAGGCAACAAGTATGCATTCTTTACAACTTGTTTTCACTACTTTAAACACTTCTCTCAAGTAATTATTACCCTATCTTTAAATTACTTTCCACTTCTTTGCTTTTCCAGGTTATAATCTGGTGGGCTGGTCTCATGAGAGGGGCTGTCTCTATTGCTCTTGCTTATCATCAGGTAGTGTGTGGGAAATATTGATTTTTTATTTTTCTTTTTGTGTATTTTGTTCGAAATTTACATTCTCGTACCATGATGCAGGAAAACATTACGTTTAAGGGTGAGTTTTGAAAAAATACTTTTAGCCAATGAAAAACTCTCTTTAAAAATTGGTTCTGAAGCACTTAATTAGTGTTTATATAAACGAAGAGCTCCACTAAGCGTTTTATTCTCCATTATTAGTAACTCTCTTACAATGCAGTTCACTAGAGCTGGCCACACTCAACTGCGGGGGAATGCAATTATGATAACTAGCACCGTAACTGTTGTCCTTTTTAGCACGATGGTATTATGCGACGCCTCTTCCTTTTCAATTTCTTCGATTAAATCTTGTAATTAATTTATTTTGGAAGGGCGTCTTCTTAGTTTTGGTGTTTTTGATTCTTATTCTATGGCTGTGTTGATGTTTTTTTTTCATATATATGTATTCGATCGTTGTGAACAGGTGTTTGGGATATTGACCAAGCCTCTTATAAATTGTTTGGTACCTCACCCCAAAGACACCACCAGCTCCAGCATGCTATCGGAACCAGCGGCTCCAAAATCATTCTCGGTACCGCTACTCGGAAGTGCACAGGATTCGGAGGTGGATCTTGATAGTCCCAATATTCCTCGTCCAAGCAGTATCCGTGCACTCCTTGCGACTCCTACGCATACTGTTCATCGCTACTGGCGAAAATTTGATGATGCCTTCATGCGTCCAATGTTCGGGGGGCGGGGTTTTGTCCCCTTTGTTCCAGGATCGCCAACAGAAAGGGGTAGGCACTGAGAACAACCCCCTGTAGCACTACGCAAATGTAAGATATGTGAATCAAGATGGATAAATTACTTCACCATGTCAAGTTTTGGAGCAGCAGCAGACAAGGGTTGGTGGCGTATTCACGTGTTTGCCAGGAATGGCATGGCGCCCGCCGAGCAGGTTGGAATGTGTCGATACTCTCTTGCCTACTGTTTTTTGCCCTCTTGTTTTTGGTAGAAATCGTTATGGTTTGGGTTTTACTTTTGGTGGTGAGTTTTTGGTTTTTTGTAATGACAATAAAGTGCGAAGGGCAACATGGAGGTGGGTTAATTTTTTTTTTTTGTAATTTCATTACTTAGAAGAAAAAAAATGTGTTGTTCTCAATTATTTTTAGTGTTTATACGGATTTCAATCTCGGTTATCACAAATTTCATATGATGCCTACAACTTTTTAAGGAAACTATTCAATGGTAAAACTCTTTTTAAAACGGTTCAAATCATTATTTGGGATATTAAGGAAAATAAACTTTGATAAGCTGAACAAGGTCAAAATTAAAAATAAACACTTCCAAATAAATCTTAATGATATAATAATACAAATACTTGGTTAAAATGGAGAAGGCTGCATTACTTTCACACAACTTGTGCACATGCATACTAACTCATTACGTGTGTGTGCATCAAGTTCATACTTTTTAGGTCTAACTATGGAGATGCATACACTCACATAGTCGAACACAAAAAGAAAAAAAAAAAAAAGAAACGCAAAATATAAATCATAACTGTATGCGTACAAATAAATCGTGACTAAAAAAGTAACTTATGACTGAAATAGTACTACAACATATATGAAGTCAGTTTTAGTGAGAATAGAACACGTTATATTTTGATGCATAACACTATTTGTAACTCACTAGCAACCATATAATATTTTTATGCATATTGTCACTTTGTAAACCTTGATTTCTTAAAAAGGGCCTTTAGGGGTAGATTCATCTTTTCCCTTAAGATTCATACTTGAAACATGTTCTAATCCCTTTGTGAGATCTTGCGGTCATGAATGAGTCTTGATAAAGTTCCTTAATACTTGAGTCCTTTAGAATCTTGAAACACCAGACAAAGAGAAAGTATATCAACAAGTGATAATACTTGAGTCCTTTAGAATCTTGAAACACCAGACAAAGAGAAAGTATATCAACAAGTATTCCAATACTAAAACTATTGAGACAATCAATATTAAGCTTACTCCCAATTAATGAGCACATTAGCCTGATTGCAAGGCCTTAATTCGACGTCTAAAGATTACTTAAACATTCTCTCTATCAATAAGTTGTTGATTTAGTGAAGAAAATTGCAAGGGAAAAAATCATTCTAAAATTAGCAGAAAAAATAAACATTTTCTAAACGAAAACTTAATTCGAATTACAATAAATGTTATGGAGAAAAGAATAAGAAAGTTAGATCAAACGATAATAATGAATGTTTTGAACTGTGAGGTCACTATTTCTGTAGAATGTCACGGTAACTTCAATAAGGAAAATTTGGGACACAACAAATCATCAACATATACATAACTTTGTTAAATTTCTCATCACTTAAAAGCAAATTTATCTATAAAATTTCCGTACCCTTCCTCAAGGGGGAAAAAATTAGATCAAAGCAACTATGAATACCGAAAAATCGATGCTACTCGAACTCTCGGACCTTAAAATTCATGATCTTTTCAGCTTAGAGCAGGCCCGGCTGATTGATTGTCAATGTTTTTGGATGAACAGTGGGAAGAATTTGATGTCACTCCTATCAGCAAACAGGCAGAGTACGATCACAATCTTATCAAAACTTTAGACCATGATTTTCTTGCCTTTACCTCCCACATGCTTCTTCTGCCTAGGTGGAGCATCAGTGCCAGCACCAGGGACCAGTGGACCAGACCAGACTTGGACTGGCTCCTTAGAGTAAGTGAACAGCGTCGAGCTGAATGGTATGTCGGGAGGAACACCGGATGGATCCATATGCCGTGAATATCCTAGCGTAAAGCCAAGCGCTCCGTCCTGGTGCGGTGGGGGGAACTTTTCGCTTTTGCTCTTTGCATTTGCATGTGTAATTAAGCGCCTTCTCTGTTTCAAGGTACAACAGTTTCAAACGGTTTAACACTGAAAATCTAAGGACATGATATACTGTACTATTAGACAATGTCTAGCTGGTTGACAGTTTTGAACTTAGCAGAGGAGCATTTACATCGATATTTGTTTGTATTTCTGCATTGGCTTCAGGAGCTGGAATCGCCCTAACACGTGTGCGTGTTTTCTTCACTCCATCTCCCTGGGCTTTGTTAGCTGCTCTTAGTCTGCAAAAACCGATTTAGAATGATGCTCAACAAAGACACAGCAAGTTCACAGGACTAAAGAATAATAGCAACAATTATCCCAAGCTTTGTCAAAAAAAAAAAAAAAAAAAAAGTTCAATTCTATTTTGGTTTGTATGGTCAGTTTAGTTGAATTCCATCATTTTTGTTCAGATGCTCGGTTCGGCTGCAAGAATTTTTAGCTTTTAAGTCCTATTTTTAAACATTTTTTTAGTAATTTGAGCACACAACTTACACCAGTGCTGATGGTTTCAAACGCCTGATCTTCCCAGTGCACACTTGTGTGTTGGAGGGAGAAAGTTAACACTCTAACTTGAAGAAAGATATAAAGTTAATTTACAAACATCTCTAAATTTGATAGTTGTATCAATTTAGAATCTAAGCTTTCAATTTAAATTCTAATAAGCTCTTGTTGTTAACACCTTAATTAAACGTTAATGTGGTATTACTAACAAGTAACAATATCACACAGGTCAATAGGTGGCACAAAGAGAAGAGAGTAAGCCACTTTACTCAATGAAGTCTCTTCTAAGAGAGTAAGCAAATTGGATAAATAAGCATAGATGAGCCAAAAATAATTAGTTTCATCTGTATTATGCCAACCCATTCTATACCAAATGTTTTACCCTACTTGTTCTTATTATTGGCTGGTCTACTCTTTTGGGACACCTGTTACTATGTCGTACCAAATCAACAATCGTTAGTTGAATGAGGCACTACATCAACATTTAAGTAATGCATAATGGAGAAAGCTTTATAGACAGAAATTAAAAATTGATGAACATAACTTGAAACCTCTTAAACTTCAGAAACTAAATAAACACAATTCTCAGAGTTCAAGCATTATATTTGTAAATTAAGTATACCTTCAGCTCCTTTTCCATTGTAACAAATCAAAATTAAAAGTTCAAGAAAATCACTAAAACCTTTAAAACTTCAAGAACTAAATAAAGCCCAGGCAGTATATTTGTAAATTTAACCGAAACTAAAAACAGAAAAGACAGGTATCTTCAGCTTCTTTACCATTAGAACCAGCCATTTTATATTATAATGGCCAAATCTTTGAAGAGATAAGAACATCTTTTAGGGAAAAGACCTCGACTTCATGAAAATAGCTAGCCCAAATTTCTCAATAGCTCACAAAACAAACCAGGCATATATTGAGAAGAAACTGAAATCAAGGCATTCATACCTCCGGGCTTCATCATCCCGTCTTCTAGCATCCATCTCCTTACTGGGAGGATATTTCGGGAGGCTGGAGGGTTTGCAAGCTAAAGGCTCTGTCATGAAGAACTGTATTGCAATGGACAAAGTTTGAAAGGCATACAAGAAATATGGCATAATTCCCATTATAGCAGACACAGAAGTGAGAATGTAAAATCTATTATACATCCAAATGGCTGCGAAAATTTCCCTGATTAAAGCTACCTCATAAGTTGAAGCAAAAAATAAGCATAGAAGGTTGCATTGCAAAGAAAAAAGATTAACAAGATTTGTAAAAGTTAAAAAAATAACAAGTTAAAAGATATAGGTTATTGACTAAAGTAGACATGCATTTTATACAACATATTTAGTTCTGTGACAAATTTAGTTCTGTATACAAGTGCAGGTTTAACTTCTTCTTATAAAGTCAAGGAAATTTTGCATCTTTTGGTGAAGCTTTCTATCAATCAATGATCCAAATCATCCACAAAATAGCTCAAAGTATTTCTTAATAGAACTTTTGCATTTCCTTTATTTGGTAAGGTCAAGCAATTGTCCTGTGAGAATAGTAAAGGTGCACGCAAGCTGGTCCCGGCACTCACAGATATTAACAAAAAGTGGGGAAGAATAGATCCTCACTCATTTATAATATGCAACTCATGGCCATTATTTTTTTTATTGTTCTTATTATATATATATATATATATATATATATATATCTATATATATTGTGATAGGGAGGGATTCTTTCATTATTTTTAACAAAATTGTCATACATTTTAGGAGGACTCTAACCTAAAAATTAATAGGAGATGTATATGGCAGAAGTGAATTGTAACTTCCCTGAGCTTACTAGGTTGGCACAACTTATGCGATGTGGGGTTTCCAGCTTCCTTTCCAGTAATTGGGCATTCCTTTGGATTAATAATCCAACAAGGCTTTCTTTCTAGAATCCTGGATCAGAAACGCTTCTCATTTAGAGTAAAATGAAATTTCCAAAAGAGATAGGCTTTCCTTGATTCAGTCTCTCATGAATGAATGATGACAACCCCCACAGGAGGGATCAGAACTCCTTTTTTCTTTTTCTTTTTCATACCAAACTAAAGAAAATCATGAAGGCTTAGTGGAATCTTATGTGAGGAGGATGGTTTGGATTATATGAGGCGTTTTCCCTTAGAACCAGATGTCATGGCACAAGATTACTGTAAGCATGGGCGTCATTTGAATAGTTCGGCCTCTAATGTAGTTTTACTTGAAAAGTTTAAGGATCCTTCAAAAGCTATTTCTCAATGATAACCCCAATTTCTCAGCTTCGAAAATTTCTCGTTTGGGGATGAGACTTGCTCTCATATTTTGGGAGGACTATTACTTTAGCCATATTCTCATCACTTTCTCTTCCCTCATCTTTCAAATCTTCCCCTGAAAGAAATCTCTACATAGCTCATGTAAGTTCCTTTTTCCAAGGGCCCCCTTGCGCATGATTTTCAACTCTTAGAGGGCCATTTAGAATAAGCAGGCATTGTTATGTCCTTTGTTCCATCCGAACAAAAGGGTTGATTTTCTTCTTTATAAGTCCCCGTTGCTAAAAATATTTGGTTTATTAGGTTCTTGGAAGCTTTTAGAGAGATGTTCCCAAGCAGAGATGGTTTGTTCAATGATAGAGGAAATTATTTTACAACCTCCTTTTTTAATAGAAGTAGAAATCTTTGGCGGACTAGCTTTTCTGCTATTTTGAAGACTGTTTTGAAAAGCCCAAAGGCAGGGGTCTAATGCGCCTAGGCCCAAGGCATAGCCCATGTGCCTCATTTCAAAAAAGCAGAGGCTCCATTAATGAAGTCTGCTTTACTTCCTACTTTTCCTGCTATTTTTTAAGCTTTTCTGAGTTGTAAGGGAGAAAGTCAAGGATCTTCTTAGAAAATAATCATTTTTCCTTACGATATAGAATAAAAGCTCTACTTAAACTTTTTATCATCTTATTATTTGCATTAAGCATTGGAAATCCATTGTGCGTGCACCTTTAGCTTTAAAAAACACTGGTATAAGGCTTAAAAGGGGGTAGGAGGAGTCGTGAAAGAAGTTTGGGAGTGTGGAACACCTCAACGGTTCTCTTTAGGTCCATTCTAGTCTACTTGACAATGTTTTCTGGGATTTTTCCCTGAATACCAACAACTGGAGTCTTTCTGTAAACTTCTTTCTTCTCTTTAGGGATCCTTTTGTTTTGTTCCTGTCTCTGTTTTTGTCTGGTTTTCCCTTTTCAACTTTCACTCTGAACGAAACTTGGTTCTTGATAGACCCCTGATTATGAAGAGGTGCATAGTTGTCACAAGAGGGAAGAGTGAGACAACAACATAAGATGTAATAAAATCAGCTTCTTTTTTTTTTTTTTTTTTTTTTTTTTTTT